GCCCAGGCAGCCTGTGCAATGTGCTTCTCACTCCTTCCTGCTTACCCATGGTATTACCAACACAGGTCCTCATGCTGAGCATCCTTGCATGATCTCTCAGCAAAGATGCCAATGGTGGGGTATGGCTGGGAAGGGCTCATAAGCTCCACAACTGCTGCCCTCTCAGGGCTTTAAAGAAGTCCATTTGTGGCATTCTCCTAGCTGTGGAAGGCTGGCTGTGGGAGAAAAGAGGCCTAATACAGCACCAAGGGAGATTTTTTAAGAGTGATTCTAACTACATAGCTAAGTTGGTGAGGAAATACACCAGTGCCTCTTCACATTGGGACCTTTTCTAAAAGATGAACTCTTGGCTCTGGGAGATGGGACTGTAAGACGCAGTATAAGCAAAATGCTCTCTGAACTCTGCAGAATATATCCAAGAATAGATAAGGAAGAGTTAGTATGATCTCCCACTATTGCTTCACTCTTCTTGTGTTTTTTAGATGCGACATCATTTGGACAGGCATGTTTTAGGCAGGCAAGTCTCAATGCCAATTGCACTAGCAGCAAGAGAGATTCAGAGTCAAGAAATACCTATGAGCACAGACCTACAGTCAGAAGTAATTGCTAAAACTCATAAATGTATGAACATTTGTGTTTCTTTCCAATGCAGAAGGCAGCAGTAAGTTGCCATCTCTGTCAAGTGTCAGTGAATTTACTCAGCATATTTAAGAACTTGACAGATTTTTAAATTATATAGCTAGGTGTGAATATAAATGATTTCCAACAATAATACCAATGCTATGTCAGGATTAATATGTAAACAAAAGTGCAGGTTCAATCTTTTTTTCCACTCATTTTTAGCTATTTCTATAGCTATACCTGCACATTAGTGCATAAAAATAAGCAGAGATTTATTCGTACATTCCTGAAATGCATATATTAAAGTAAACCCTAAGAGCTCTGTTAAACAGCTTGCTGGGTGCTCAGTGCTGCACTGCGTGGTGCACAGACAGAAGGGCTTGAACAGGACATAGTTTCATGACAGACCTTTCTCCCTCTATACCCGGGCTTCCCATGAGATCTACGTTCCACTGCAGCTGTCTTCTTGTCAGCTGAAACTGGGATATAATATATGAGAATATTTGGGTCAGAAATTCCCCCAGGCTATTCAGAGCCTCCTCTGTACTTGACTTTCCCCACAGTAGCATCTGTTCATACTGTGCTCCCTCTTATACCCACACAGTTTCACAAGGACACCACCATCACTCACACTTGCACTACAGTATCTTTCTTCCAATAGATTCATACATTTGAACAAACATCTGAGCTCTAAATGAGGATAACTTGGGGAACCACAGGCTGGTCAGCCTGGAAAGGGCATGGAGCAAATCCCCCTGGAAGCCATTTCCAAACATATGACGAAGAAAATGACTGAGAGCAGTCAGCCTGGATATATGAAGGGGAAATCATGCCTGATGAACCTGATAGCTTTCTGTGATGAGATGACTAGGTGGGAGCTTGTTTACCTCGACTTTAGTAAGGTTTTTGACACTGTCTCCCATAACATCCTTATAGACAAAATGATGAAATATGGGCTAGATAAGTAGACAGTGAGTTGGACTGAAAACTGAGCTGCTTGGTTGAGCTGCTGGGCTCAAAGCATTGTGCTCAGGGAAATAAAGTCCAGCTGGAGGCCAGTCATTAGTGGTGTAGCCAGGGGATGATACTGGGGCCACTACTGTTTAACAACTTCATTAATGACCTGGATGATGGGACCGAGTGTACCCTCAGCACGTTCACAGATGATACAAAACTGGGAGGAGTGGCTGACACACCAGAAGGTTGTGCTGATATTCAGAGGTGCCTGGATAGGCTGGTGAAATAGGCAAAAAGGAATTTCATGAAGTTCAACAAAGGGAAATGCGAAGTCCTGCACCTGGGGAGGAACAGTACACGCTGGGAGCCAACTGTCTGGAAAGCAGTTTGACAGAGAAGTACCTGGAGGTCCTGGTGGACGCTAAGCTGGACACAAGCCAGCAAGGTGCCTTTGTGGCAAAAAGGCCAACAGCCCCCTGGGCTGCATTAGGAGGAGTGTTGCCAGCAGGTTGAGGGAGGTAGTCCTTCCCCTCTACTCAGCACTGGTGAGGTCTCACCTGGAGTGCTGTGTTCCAGTTCTGGGCTGCCCAGTACAAAAGAGACATGGACATACTGGAGATGGTCCAGCGAAGGGTCACAAAGATGATGAAGGGACTGGAACACCTCTCATTTGAGGAAAGGCTGAGAGAGGTGGGACTGTTTAGTCTGGAGAAGAGAAGGCTCAGCAGGGTTCTTATCAACATTTATAAATACCTGATGGGAAAAAGAAGATGGATCTAGTCTCTTCTTAGTGGTGCCCAGTGAAAGGACAAGAAGAAATGGGCAGAAATTGAAATACAGGAAATTCCATTTAAACATAAGAAGTTGGTTTTTTACCATAAGGGTGATTGAACACTTGAACAGGTTGCCCAGAGAGGTTGTGGAGTCTCCATCCTCGGAGATATTCTGATTGGACACCATCCTGAGCAACCTGCTCTAGTTGATCCATCTTGGAGCAGAGGGTGGGACTAGATGATCTCCAGAGGTCCCTTCCAACCTCAACCATGCTGTGATTCTATGATAATCCAGAGGTCACTGTCTTTTTGCCAGTAACAAGTAATGGCTTATATAATGGAGCCCAAGAATGGAGGAACAGAAGAAAGCATTAGAGCAGGGATTACCGATTTGCTCTCAGTTAGTACTCTACTGACACCAATGGATGATCACCAGTTTTCAGGAGACCAGAATGAGGACCCAAATCAGTACAACTACCATTAGTCATGGTAGTTCTGCATTTAGTGACATTTTTACCTATCTTAAAGGCTCAATTCATATTCAAAGATAAGGAAGATTTACTAACACACACACACTATCTAATCACAGTTTCAATCAAACCCAAAGGAAGTCTGAACCTGAGCAACAGGAAACATCTCTCATTGCTAGTGAGGCCTTCAGTATTTTCATTAGTTAAGCCCTTGGTCAACTTCTTATTAGCGTCCCAACCAACTGTTCCTCCATCTCTGCTGTACCTAAGGAGAACAGGCTTCTGCTTTCCTTTAGGCACCAAGTCATTTTTCCTTTGAGAATTAGCAGTTGGTTTTGTGACAGCAAATGGAAAATTATGAATGTCACTGCAAAGCTGTGAATACAGAGGCAACTGAAGGATCCAGACATCAAAGGAAGCACAACTAAATCCTGGCCAGCCAAAGAACTCCAGTGTTGGTCTGTATGTACAAAGGTAGGCCCAGGAGTAACTAGAGGGTATTTCAGAACATAGGAGCAAAAAAATGCGCAGTCTGCTGGAGAACCAAGGCTGTCTAATATATTAGCAGTGATCATCCACAACCCCATTAATTTACCTTTTTTGCCAGCTTTTTAAGTATCACTGTGCAGTGATGAGCAGCCTTCATACTGCATCATACCCAACTCCCCCAGTCATTTCACATAGCAGTATTACGTGCTATGGCCAAGAAGGCATCTCCAGCCTTCTTTAGCTATGCTGAATATGTCAGTGAAGTGTCCCTGCTGGTTCTTTCAGCTGGTTCTTACCAGCTGTCTCTTGCCATGTTCATCACATCTTGCACATCTTGCACATCTTGCACTGACCAGCCTACTAAGTGTATAGACAGAGCAAATTCAGACACAGACCCTTCCAACTCTGCCCATTTTGCCTATGCAATTTCTAGATATCTGGGGCATTCAACATACTGGCTTCATACAACAAACACCTCTACCTAGGAACCTTGCAAATAGATGCAGTCTCCATGAGAAGCATGTACTGCTACTATTCCATGCTTAGCAGGACAATCCCACTAGTGCCTGCTGTCAGAATTTCTATCCTTCCTGTAAATGCTGCAGCCTCACACACCTTAGCAAGGAACACCTTGCCTGGCAGGCAAGGATTTGGTTTGATTCTTTTGATATAGTTTCTTGTATCATTCATGTTTTGCTGCCAAAACGAACAGTCCTTTTTTTCTTGTACCTCTCCGGGATCCAGAGAAGAGAAGAATCTGGGCAAGGCCTGAACGGAAGGATGTTCTTTTAACATACTTCAGTCCAGTGAACACTCCCTTAGAGAATAAGCTCAAGAGGGAATGGGAGACGGAGTTATCATCTTCCAGAGGGGAACAAGCAGACTGCACGAACGCCTGCCGTAGGAGGCTATCACTGTACATGACCCGAGACTCGCCTGCTCTTTGCTGCTCTTATGGATCGCATGTGCATGAGAGATCTTCATTAACATACAAATACAAAAAGCCCTCAGGAGAACAATTTTAATGTCTCTTGCAGTGAATGCTCTGGGACAGCCTTCTTCTGAATGTCTGAGAAATGAAGATTAGATATCAGGATGAACTCTGAGCCTAACAATGTATCGTGTTTTTCCAGGAAATCTAATAAATTACCTCCCACTAAAAACTGAACTTCTTTGTATCTTCAGAGGACCACAAAAAAAAGCAAAACTGAAAGAAAAAAGCCCTCTACAACTATCTGGAAAAAACACAGTAGGTAAAGAACATTTCTGTGAGTAAATACCTGGTAACAACAGGCCAGTCACAGAAGTAAGGTTGACGGGATGTTGTGTGCTGGTTACTCTGAGCTTTTTATTAGGTATTTAGAAGAAAGTTTAATTTCAGGGAGTTATTTTATGATTTGCATTGCTGCAGGCCTGCCCAGGGCTGGTGTGTGATTAGATTAGAGGGCATCCTCTTGCCATACGCTGCTGTTGCTGCTGAGAAACTATGTGGAGAAGATTTGCTAGCGACACCTCCATACAACTAAGCGGTTATTAACAAAACACCGTTGGAGACCAGTAAGAGAACTGATTAAAGACACCCACAACCACAACAGCATCCATGCTTGGAATCACAGACTTCTCCAGCACAGGTAAGGTCTCCTAAGATGATGCTATGCTACGCAAGAAGATACAGACCCAGGGATCTTACCTGCCTCTGAGGACCAGTAGGTTCAGATTCTCGTCTCCTTTGTCGGATAGCTGGTGCTGAATGTAGGGGGGAGTGGGCTGGACTTCCTGTCTGCTGTTCATGTTTACTGTCAGATACTGTTTGAGAAGGTCCTTCATGTCTGTGGGAACTGTCCTCCTCAGTCACAGGCTGCATACCCCGACTTCGCCCATCATGCGTCTTCGGCCTGACTGCAGCATCTGCCCCCAAGCGCCTTCTCTCCTCACCCTCTTCAATAGGTCTTAGTTCCTCAGGCTCCTCATCCGTGGTTCCAGAGGTGCTTGGCTCAGCACCTGGGTGAAAGTCCTTCAGCTCTGTCTCCTTATCAATGATAACCCACTCCTTGCTATCGAAGTCCTCCTCCTCTGCGAGTGGCACTGAACGGAAAGCATTGCTGAGGGCTTCGTGTTCCACCGAAGCAGACACATCCATCCTACCACTTGCCTGCCGGTCAGCCTGGCCAGTATCAATGGACAGCATCTGGGCTGGTTGGGAGGAGCATACAAGCCGTGATGGAGAGCCAGGTAAATCCATTCGAGATCTAAAGACAGAAAATGAAGCCATTAAAAATACATTAGGTTTGTGGTTAAAGTTAGGGATTGTAAGAGTTGAGAGAAAACCTGTATAGTCCTTCTCGCTCATTTCTTGGTACACTTCAGAAAGGCAGGCTTAAGCAAAAATATTTCTTTAGAACCTACAATGGCATAAAGATGTTCCCACTAAAGTGCTTCAGTATGACAGCTGATTCAGCATCTCTATTCCTTGTAGATTACAGGATGATAACCAGTTTCCCCCAACAACACCAATATATTCCTTCCCCTTTGGTAAGTTCTACTGGTTTGTGAAAAAAAAAACCCCAAACAAATCACCAAACCCAAACTCCTAAATCTGCTGTCTGACTTAACAGTGTCTCTGCTGGGCTCCTATAACCTCTTCAGATGCACTGTGCTATCTCTGTGATGGCCACTGAGGCCTTTAAGTGGCCACATGAGTTCTTTGAACACAGCAAGAATCTTTGATCCCATTGTGCACAGACAACCCCAAAATACTTTGGAGTAGCAGGAAGAAAATATGGCAAGTATCCTTTTACAAAGGGTAGTATAATGTTCAGTGGCTCACAGTCTAAATAGCAGCAGCTTCTATAGCCATGCAGAAATACCTTTCAAAGAGGCCCTAGAAGCTCCCCGTGCCCCAATGGCCCTGGCAGCATCTCAGCTGGAAAAGCCAGTGGCACTTCTGTCTTTCTGCTCCACAGTGTTATGATCCATGCTTCTCATTTGGCCAGCACCTGCTGCTTGCTTTGCTTCTGTGTCTGCCACAGAGGCTAGCAGCTTGCTGCACAAAGCCAGAGTGTCTGCTGCCCAGAAAAAAACAGCTGCATGTGTTTTACAAAAGGATTTCAACAAGGACCATACGGGAACCTTGCAGACTCTTCTGGGAAAGGCCTTCCATGTGTGAAAAAGCATGAGGGGAAACAGACAAGTGACTGACCATTGGGGGAGGGTTGCCCAGCAAAACTGGGTATCTTTAAAACAGTGGAAGGTCAGAGCTGAGATGGGAAGAATTACAAGCAAAAATGAAAAAATTCTGATGAAGAAAGGGGAATTAGAGAAGGAGGTGAACCAAAGGTTGATGTAGAGAAAGTTGTGAGCAAAAACAAAGATCTCAGCAAAAGCCATCTGATGGATCTGAAAGAAGCAAGGCTGTATTTGTTAAAGTCTTAAAAATATATTATTGTGAATAGGGAACACTAAGTATGCAAAGTAAGAATGAAAAATGTGTGAAGATCTGGATTTTAAAGAGCTGTTGCTAAAAAAAAAAAAAAGAAACTCCGGATTTAGCCAGTATCTCCATCCATTCCCCACCAGAGAGACTCCTGGAGTGGAAGAATTTACTCCAGAAAGCCAGAAGAACTTCCCAGTGCTGGAAGTCAGGTCTGTGTTGTGAAAAAGACAAAAACAGAATTTGTGGCAGAGTGGAATTGTATTTGCACCGTACTTGGTGCAGGCTACTTGGAAGATGAAAAAAGATCTTGATTTTAAAAACAGGAGCTGAGGGAAGAAGGGAGGAGAAAGGGATCTGTTTTGGATAATACACATTTTCTGTATTAGGTTAGCATGATGCTGAGTAGACAAGGAATAGTGGGAGAAACAAATGAAGGAGTTAAAAGCATTCAGTGAATATACAGGACTAGTGTTGCTGACTGTTATAAGTGGTTTTTTTCCCTTCCTATTTTAAAAAGCCTTTCTTCTGAGTAAGAAACATAAGAGGTAGCAAGACCCAAGATTTGTTATTCAAACCCTAAATTATTAACAGCAACACAAACAATCTTTCATGAATTACAGAGAAGCATTACAGCTTCCCCCAGCCACAGAATAAAACAGTACCTAACAAACTGGGGGTAGTGCTAGGGGCTCATCCTCTCTCTAGTTCTTTTTGATCCTCCATTTCCAGCTACTGTCTCCTTGTGACTGTTCCTCTTGGCTGAAGTCTGTCAGATTTTCTCTGAGAAGAAGGCCTGTCTCTCCCCTACCTCTTTTAGAAGGGCCATTTCACCAGTACATCCTGCAACCACAGTCCATGCCCTGACTTTCAATGGGAAGAGGAAGACAGAGTAACAAAGGATGTGAAGGGGGCTACCAGCACCAAGGGCTTATGTCTTGTAACACGTATTCTCCAGCACACAATACTTTAAAAAGCTTCTTTTAATTGTTTTTAATATTCTTGTTTTTTTGTTTATTTCTTTGCTGTGGATGTGAGAGAAAGTATTCCTATTACCCTCAAAATCAGGGTGTAATGTGTACTTTCCACATGCAAACAAGTGCAATGCTATATGCTGAAAAATGAGTACTATTATTACTATTAATGAAAAATAATGAAATAATGAAAGCCACCACATCAGGATCTGCCAGCTAGCTCCCAGAATACATGCATCCTGCTATGAATTCTAACAATATCCATTTTTCCCTCCCACCTTGGGCCAGCCAAAAGCTTTGTGACTGTTTACATTATCTCTGATCTGATGCTTTGCCTTCCCTCTGACAAATGTCCCTCCTTCCATCTGTGGAGTTCTTTCCATCCAGGGACAGGAGTCATTCCAAATAACTCTCCTTATTAACAGACATCAGTGTCTCATCAGAATGATCATAAAGCCCATGAACACCTCCACCCAGAAATGAACTTCCAGTGCCTGCTGATCTAATGATTAGGTTGGTCTCAACAGTCAATCCTTAAGATACTGCTAAAAGCAGTAGGAGGCTACAGAGTGTGAGCAAACCTTCTTTCATGTAGATCTGCTTTGCCATCAGCAGTGGAGAGGCGTTCTGACTCAGGGCTGTTCACACGGCGGTATCTTAGGGAGCGCACTTGTGCGGTAGGGGACTCCGGAGGCACTCGGACAGGGGAACTGGGGCAGATGCCATTTCTCTGCTCCTCTTCCACCATGCACTGAGTCTGTAGGGGGTAAACACAGAGAACCTCAAAATTTGACCAAAGACATTGATTTCCCATCCTTCACTGTTGCTCTCTGTGCTTTCTTCCAGGATACAATTTCAGCTGCATTTTCGTAATCTACACAAACAATATTTGAAGGAACGCAAGGGCCCACATGTCCTGGCAATTATCTAATATTAAAACAAGGTATGGATTTTAAATTAATTCAGATATTTAAATGTCTTTACAAGGTAGCCTTTGCATTTCAATTACCCTGAATAGTTGATCCAAAGGAGTTATCATGGGCTAACCTACTGCATAAACAAACCCTAACTGCTTATCCAAGATGTCTAAGAGCCCTTGTTTGTCAATATTTGTCTATGCAGGGTCCATGCATTATATTGCAATGTACATACTTTTACTTCTGATGAACTTGATATGACTAAGCCATCTCCTAATTCCCACGGTGGTTTGGGTTTTTTGGGGGTTTTTTTTTGTTTTTTAAAATTTTGGTCTTTTAGACAAAGTCTTCCAGGACATATACTCAACCACAACACTGTAAGAGCTTTCCACAGACCCAAGGTCATGCAGGGACCTGAACATGCTCAAGGACACTCGTGAGCATTGAGTGTTCATACTCTACCAGTACATATTTTCTGTTTTCATATGGCCTTAGTGAATTTGATTTTTTTTTTAATTTAGCAGCAGACAAAGGAGCAAAAGTAAGTGACTGTAACACAGCTGCCTTCTGCCTTCCACTGTACTGCTTCCCTTTGGAAGAGAAGACCTGCTTAGGCAAAAGCATAGAGGCAGAATGGTCCAAGGGCTACAGCAGCAGTCTAGGATTTGCATTCAACCCTGTTGTGCTGCCAGCCATGCAACATCAGCTGCTACACACTGCCTCTGTGTAGGAATGTGCATTGAGGTGCCAGTGCAAGTTCCTAGTATGGAGAGTGTTTACCCTCCTCTGCAGCATGCCCTACATTCACTTGTCCTCTATTAATGCCAGAGGCTCTGAATGTAAGCAGGCTTCTCAGTAAAATGCTGCTGATCGAGACAGCTGCCTTTGTATGTGTACTGTGTATATGGTAAGTCAGTCAGTGTCCATAAATTAGCAGATCTAAACCATCCAGGCTAGGTTTGGAATGCATAACTAAGGAGCCTTTGCAGATAGGGAGAGAGAAGAAGAACTTTCAGGCATTACAGGAAAAGCAGAATAGATTATAATAATCCATTTAATCTGTAATCCATTCAGGCCAGGAGAAGGTTAGTGACAAAGGAAGGTCAAATGTGTTTGTGAAAGGAGCAAAGTGCTGATGTAACTGTAGGGTAACGGGCAACTTGGTAAGATTCGAGAGCAAAGAATTGGAGGAGGGTGTGGGAGAGAAGGAAGAGGCTTCTGAAAAAGCACAGAATGAGGACTTTGATCCAGTGGAGGAAGGAGAACCAGAAGGAGGATTTAGAAAGCTCAGTGATAGTAAGCAAGGAAACTGTCCCTAGCACAGAAATGGGAGAAGTGGGACAGAAGGAGATCTGAACTGTGTGAACAGAGAAATAAGGATGACCTTAGAGAGGTATTGGGGAGGAAAAAGATGGCAAGATCTACTCATCACCTAAATTCAAAGAGCAAGACAGGGAGAGCTGGAGTTACTTCTAGTACTACAAGACTGGAAGATGAAGGATAGTGAAGCTGTGAATAGCAGAAGGGTGTTTAACACACCAGCTGCCCTTGTGGTTCTCAAAGACGCAAGGGATGCCTGAGATTACAAGCAGAGGTGAAGCTGTGCCCTTACATATAAAACCTGCAGCCTCCTTTTTTTCTCCATGTGGTGACTGTGACTTAAATAAAAACTGATTCTCTCTCAGAGAAGAGTCAGGCTAAAGATAATAAGCCCCGCAGAGCGGAAGGACAGGCAAGAGTCAGACTATAGATAACAACCCTCACAGAAAGAAAGGACAGACTTCTTAAGCTTTGGAGAGCATGATGCCCTGGGCTCTATTTCATACACTGCTGTGTAGCTACAGAGCTTGTCAGAACTGAAGTGCTCATTGCCACGTTGACTAACTCCGTAAGCTCCTTTGCCAGCAAACTGACAAGAAATAGCATATGCCTTGGCAGGAGAGTCACCTGGTCATGCTGTGGATCTTGTAGAAACCTCTCCTGCCTCTAGCTGCTGTTATGACAGGGCCTGTGAATGACAGCACTGTGTACCTAAGACATGACGTACGACTAGCACGCAGAAAGGACGTTTAGGACTCCCTTGTGCACATCTCAGTCTGACTGAAGAGCATCAAGGCAACTGGTGGTTCAAAGGAACAGAAAAACACATAGGAGTTACTAGGATTTTTCTGTAATGCTCTTTTTTTTTTTACATATGTTGTGGAAACAGAACTGTCCCACTCTACCAGGCTTTTCTTATTTCTTGTGTCTTCAAATGAGAACTTCTGGGAATGCACACAGTTTACCAGTGAGAGATGAAGAAGTGACTTGAACTTGGTTTATAATTCTCAGTATTGGTAAATGCCGCTGGTAATGTTCCATACAGATAACATGCTGATCCAAATTATTTGCATTGGAGAATTTTAAGCAAGTTAGATGAGATTATTTCTTGTCCATGAATAATGTTTTCTAATAAGACTAAGGATAGTGGAGATATCTACAGGGCTGAAAGAAGGACTAACTTTGTGCCAGCAGAGACTGAAGTGAATTCTGGTCAGAACCAGAAGACTGGTAGATTTAACATGCTAGTACACAAATGTCCATTAAAGACAGGTTTGTGAAGTGAATCCAATATGCCCTGATAATATTTTAAGTCTGATGAAAGTTTCTCTGCTAACAGATTCTGTATTTATCTGATGTCATGCCATGTGACATTCTGATTTTTAAATAAGAATTGAGATCCACAAAACAAATACTAATTTACTTACAATATGTAAGTTGATCTAATAAATAAACTAACTGGTAGATTCTCATACTTAACATTTACTACGGAATCATCATTCAGTGGGGATGCCCCCAAGAAATTAGGTAACATTTACAAGAAAGGACTGAGAAACAGCTTAGGGATTATGAGGAAAACCAACTGAATTATACACTTTATGCAAGCTAAAAAGTCTAGTATGATCTTGGAATGCAGAAGTATGAGAATATTAAGTGATAGTTTCTCTCACTCTTCACAGGGGTGAAACCATCATTAGATGCTACCCTTAGAAAGGAAAGTTAAAAAATTGGAAGAGAAAAATCAGTGATGATTCAAGACGTAGAAAAATATGGCTTATGAAGACATCTCTGATTAAATTTATTTACCCAAGAGGTTAGGACACAATAAAATTTTGGTTTATAATTTCCAAACCTGGGACATTTCTGATATTGTATCAGCTATGCAAGGACTAGAATTCCACTGCTTGAAGTATCAAGGTCCTAGATAATGATATAATGATTGTACGAAAGATTCACTTTAGCATTATTGGTCGCCAAAATGTCATTCGCATAAAGATCCAAACTAATCCCCATGGCTTTTACTCGGTGAAAAGATTGTTTGTAATTTCCAATTTCCACAGGGAAACTCCACAGTGCTTTTTGTGCTGCGCTATGTAGGATACTACATCAGTGGATCTGGGTGGCTTCTAGCAGTCTATGAATCCATTGCCCTAAATCCAACAGCCACAGGAGATAAATAAATATTCTTTACTTTGCTGATGCTGATCCTGAGTTTGTTGCGATTCACATCTGTCTCTTCCCAAACTTCAGCCTCATTGAAAGCAGTGTTTGGAGCCTGACCAAGACCTTCCGCTGGCCTGCCTGACAGGATGGGAGGAGCATTCTCTTGATCACTCAGATGTTCACCCTGTAGGACATCCTCAGTGTTCTCACGAAGCATGTCCCCAGGTACTGGAGTGACATTAACCACCCTATGGAAGAGACAAGAAGAAAGGTAAAATTATTAGTACTTAAAGAAGGAGGCCTATCACACTGCCCCACAGAAATTCCTTAGCAGCTTTTAGGGTATTACCAGGTTGAAAAAACAGGCAGTCCAGCATTATCCCAGATGTGACAACCTGAAACAGAACAGGAGGATTCCACCCAACATACAGTCACAAAGACAGCGGGATGGATCACTGAAAGCATCTTGGGACCCTTGATACGCAGGCTGCAAACTTCTTCATAAGAGCCCATTAAACAACTTTTAGCTTAGAATGAGTAAATGAGGCTTAATAGGCCTTATAGCTTTTATCTTCTATAATATTAAGATTTTATCTTCTGTAATATTACTAAGGATTATTGTTATCCCTTTATGTCAGCCCCCTCAAAAGCACCAAGACACACCAGTGAACTAAGCCTTATGAACTTTTGTTTGGACTCATTTCCGTCTCTGAGCACCAAACTCTGTGTACCTTTGCACCAGCACATGAAACACCCTGTAAAGGTTGAGGAGCTGTGTTCGAGGCATGACCAGTGCATGCACTCTACCGTGTTCAGCTCACTATCAATCACAAACCCACCCCACAGCAAGGCAACAATTGCCTCACAACAGGCACTCTCACAGAAGCTCCAGCCATGTGTGCCATATAATATGCAAAATATACAAGCATATGGGCTCCATCAGTCCTGGCCAAAGGTCTCCAGACATCCCTTAATGTGACTCCAACCCACACACTCATCCCCAATAGAAAATGTGTTTTCAGGACAGCAAGGGTCTGAAACTGGGTTCCACCACCTTAGATATATGTTAATATATATAAAGTCAAATCAAGTGGTGGCTGCCATGCAGCTCCAACTTCCCAGGATCGTAACGGCCTTGAAATCTTTCAAAAATGAACTTGTTACTGAGCTTGTTACTGAGGATGTCCATAGTCTGACTGGTGCAAATGCAATACTCACCCAAACATGGCTGCTGTTTGCCTGGTATTTTGCTGTGGTGGAGTAGAGGTGCTAGTGGACAACAAGATATCTGTACCAGCCTTCTCCCAGTCAAAGGCTTCATTTTCAGTGATGCCTCTTTCTTTCATGCTGTTCTCGAAAACGGACATGATTAACTGGAATAAATTTACAAAACCAATTTATGTTAAGTAGCTGAGGGTGGCTCTCACAAAAAATCTGAAGTATGAGCATGAGGACCAAGTGCAGTTTCTAATCTCCATCTTGCCTACGAAAGGTACCAAAAAATGAAAGCAAATGTCATAAAATCGTATCAGCTGTTTCTCAGGCTGGTTTTGGCTTGGTAACTGAAATTTCTTTAAATTTACAAAAGAAGTGTATGCAACATTTTGACACAGATTTGATGAAATCTTGCAGTTGGCTTGTTACTCTAATTCTAAAGCCTTAACTTCAGCTCAGCTTTCCTGTAGATTAGACATATGCAGAATAGTACATTTGATATGTAGAGTTCAAGGGCTGCTGGAAGAAGTAAACACAACAGGAAAACACAGTCCTAGGATGCAGACTTGTTGCAGTGTCTGGCTCAAATACAGCTTGGTCAGGAGCCCTATGATATGCTTATGCACAATGTGGCCTGCCATATTCGGCTACAGAAGAAAGGATGATACAATTTTCTTTATAAGATGGCAGGTACAAATGCTCACGCTGACACGGTTTATGCTTGTTGCTTTCTACGAACAGATATTCCTTAGGAGAGAATGAAACTACTGGCAACAGTGCTCTGTGCAACAATGTGTTACCCAGGGAAATCTGTCAAAGGGAAACTGAATGTTATAGGCCAACACAGTCGTATTTGAGGTCCTGCATTTCTAATACAATTATTCAGCTAAATAATGCAGAACTGAGAGGATTCAGCCTAAAGTCTATATGGAGAGAGAATATGGTGACAAATACATTTGGCTTATGGCATAGAATTAGCTCTAAGTTATGAATAAAAATTACCATTAACAACCCCCCTATTTGTTTGCATTTATATTCCAGTTCTGTTTATCACCATGATCAGAAGGCCAGGAGAGCCTGCCATTTCCTACTACCTTCCACCAAAATGCAGCAAAATGCCTATTTGCAGCTCTCCATTGAGCCGTCTTTCTCCTCCTTTTTGTGACCTAGAATCCTAGAATTAGGTGCTCTACTCCTGCAGTGGCACTACGTTTGATTAAAAGAATTCCCAGAGTTGACTGTCGGTCAGACCAAGGAATAGGTAACACCTCTCCAGAGAGTGGACGTGACATGGCAATGGTAGCAGCTTCTTTGAAAGGGATTTTACTGTTGTGACAGTTTAATATGATAGGATTGTGTTTCTGCTTGTTAGCCTCATGTCATGATGCCCCCTTTCAACTCTGATGCAAATGGGAGTTGTGCTGCTTCCGTTGGCAGGGAATTTCTTGCTCAAAACTGATGTGAGTAACTAACGGGTTACAAGTCTTGCTTTTAGTAAATGCATTTTTGGCATTTAGTAACCTTAGATGGACCTTTTCTCATGGATTTGCCTAATTACTTTTGCTTTTGGACTACACCTATCTCATGGCAAAGAATGCACCAATTATATGAACTATCTTCTTTGCTCATTCAAACCTGCCACCTGCTAATTTCATTTGGCAGTTCCTCATTTTCATATCAGAAGAAGCAGAAAACAACCATTCTCCATTCACTTCTTGCCATTCTGCCTTTGATTTTAAAGATGTCACGTACATATCAGTCCTCTCTTTTTTTCAGTGTACCGTCCTAGTCTAATTAGTCTTTCCATATCTGGATCTCTATCCTCCTTGTTACCCTTCCCTACAACTTCTCTGTTTTCATCCTTTTTGAGACGCAGGAATGGAACTACACACAGTATTTAAGAGTATGCTTCACACAGATTTACATGATAGTATAAGGATATTTTCTGTTTACCCTCTAATACTACTCTGATTATTCTTAGGATTATATTTGCTTTCTGACTGCTACTTTGGCAAGGATTACTGTCAAATGTCTTTTAGAAATTAATATCCCCACATCCTCAACGACTCCTTCCAAGAACTCCATACATTTGTAGACAGATGCCCTTATAAAACCATACTGACCTCTGCTCATTAGATCATCCTCACCCATTTGTCCGCTAATCCCAGCCTTTATCACAGTTTCTGATTCTTTGTGATTTACATGTCAGTGTCAGGGACTGGTATCTTCTGAACCCATTTAAAAATTGGTACTGCTTCTGCCGCCTTCCATTCCTTTGATACTGAAGCAGTCTTAAGTAAGAAACCACATGCTAAAATTAGAAGTTCAGCTGTCTTATTCTTAGCATTCATTCATGCTGTAAAGGTCCCACTCAGTCAAAACAACTTTTGTTACTTTCAGCTATAAATTCTTCTGTAACACTTTCATTTGACTTTGCAGGCCATTCAGGTGGCCTGTAGGGTCTTTTTTCGCAGGCTGAAGGATACTAGTGTCCTCAGCTGCCATTATTCTCAAGCCTTTCCATGGTCTTATTGAGCCTTCTCAGCTTTCTCTGAACCCTTTACACTTCTGATGAAAGGTCAAAACTTTACAAGGAGGGAAGTGGAGTGTGATACTGCACAGAACAATCCCAACAACAACCACTGCTCCCAAAAGTCATGCAGAGTTACTGGATCCCGTCTAGGGATCCTCTGCAGACATAATATTATTACGGACCAGAAGAGTTTCCACAGTCACTGCAAGCCTCCCATACTGAGTTTCCTTCTGCTGGGCCCAAGAACAGCTAACTTGGTGGAGCTAGGAAGAAGATGACAAGAGATCCCTCAGTTACACAGGATGTCAGATAAGGAGCACAGCAAGAGCCTTGGCAGGAGGGCTGGAACTCAAAAGATCTTTAAGTTGCAAGGGAACTCAGACAACCACCTAGTCCACCCCCTACTCAAAGTAGGGCTTACCTTCAAGTCAGATCCAGTTTCAAAATCAGATCAACTTGTTCAATGCCCTGTCAAGTTATGTTCTGATTATCTCCAAGGATGAAGATCCCACTACTGTTTGACATCCTCCTGGTGGTAACTTTTTCCCATAGAGCCAATTGCAATTTCCTTTGTTGTGGATTGCGTCAACTGCATCTCATTGTTTCACTGTGCGCCTCAGAAGAGTCAAGCTCAATCTTCCCTATAGGTAGCAGAAGGCAAAACCAAGATCCCCTTTGATCCTTCCCTTCTTAAGGTCAAAGAAACCCACTTCTTTCAGCCTCTCTTATGGCATGTGCTCTACTCCCAGTCATCTTGGTGGTCTTCCACTGAGCTCACTCCAGTTTGTATGTCTTTGTTGCACTGGACACAGCTCTCCCGATGTGATTTAACAAGTGCCTAACAGAATGTAATAATCACTTCCCTTACACTGCTGGCCATGCTCTTCCTAATACAGCCCAACATGCAGTTACCGTGCTTTGTCACAAGGACGCGCTACTGTTTCATGGTCACCACTAAGACATACAGGTCTGCAGAAGCAGAGCTCCTCCCTAGCCAGTTAGTTGAACCCCAGCCTGTACTGTTTATTCCATCTCAAGTGCAGGACTTTGTACTTGCCTTTGCCGAACCTCATGAGGTTCCTGTAAACCTGCCAAGGTCTCTCTGAGTATCAGTACTGCCCAGAACTGGCTGAGAGTGTGTTCTGTCCCCCTATCCCATCATCCAGGTCTTTAATGAAGACACTGAACACTATTAGCTCCAGTACTGTTTCCTGAGAGATAACACTAGTGGCTAGCCACCAACTGAACTTTGCATCGCTGACCACAACCCTCTGACACCCAGCAATCCAGACAATTTGCCACCAACCTTGTGGTCCACTTATTCAAACCATCTCTTTCCAATCTGGCTACGAAGACATTATGAGAGACTGTAACGCCAAGGTAGATAACATTCACTGCTCTCTCTGCATCCATAGAAGAAGTCACCTCCTCAGAGAAGGAGGTTTGGTCAGGTTGGTCAGGTATGCTCTGTCCTGGATAATTCCATGCTGGCTCTTCCCAGTCCCCTTCTAATCTTTCATGTACCTGGACATGCTTTCCAAAAGTAGTTATTTCATAATGAGGCCAGCATCCCTCTTCAGCAAGAATATAATGTCCACCATAGCTATGCCTGTATACACCACTCCATTAAGAATTTTTTAGTTTGTATACCATGGACCTAAGGGTAGATAGAGACTGACCTGCCATATTTTCTTGGCAGTAACAGACCTAGCCTTTTGGTGTCTGGACAGAACACAAAAACAAGGAAAGTGATTATGAAGCATGTGCATACATGAACAATATTACCATTTTTTTCAAAAACTTTATGAGTAACCATTTGATGGGGTTTGAGGCTAGATGAAGAGACTTCAGGGAAGGCTGAGCTCAGGTCATAAGGGAAGATAGGAAAAGGCAGCAGATGACCAAGTAACATCTTCTCCTAAGACTTCCTTGATGCAGGAAGATATTCCAATTTCTCTCTACTGGCTGAGAATAATGCGTATGTCTGTCATCCATGCATCAGGTAAAAAAAAGTTACGTACACCTAATTGTAACCTAAAAATTAGGCTCAAATCATGAAGCTACCAGACAGGACTAACCTCCAGTACACCCAACAGCTCTACACCACATGCAGACAGGGACCTATGAAAGCAACCTATTATCACGGTACCTGTAGCTGGCCTTACTTGGAAAAGAGCTTCCAAGTAATAGGGAAGTTGTGGTGGAAGACCAACAGTTTGGATAGGTCTCACTGGGAATTCCTCATATATAAAGGAAATGTTGGCCATTCTGGAACCCTGGGAGGTAACAAGAAAGGCACGAGGCAGTATATTTCATTCAGACTAGCTGCACTGTACAGCAATCACTCCACCTCTCCAGGGTCCAGAAAGAGAAGGGAGACAATGGCTACAGATGCAGATCAGATCCTCTTCCCCACCTACAGGGTAAGCAGACATCCATAGCACCCCAGTGAGAAGAAATACAGAATTTTCCCTTGGAAGGTTATCAGAGTCACAGGAGAATGTTTCTGAAACAGGGGCAAAGCATGGACAGGATCAGCTTTGCCCCTTTAGGGCAGACTCCTGAGCTTCCTATTGGGCCAGATTTAACAACAGAAAGGGATAAGCAATAAAGAAAATA